ATAACGAGATATAGAACACATTTATATCATCCTCCAGTAACGCTTGACAATCTTGCAAAACTCTTCTTTATATAATTTTGACGGTAAAATGAAAACTAAAAATGTGACCATCGGTGGGATGAATGAAACAAAATATCCGATAAGGAATAACCATGAATCATGAGCTGATTTCATACAACCAGAAACAAAAGAAAGAATCACACGTGGAACAGCAAGAATGACCAAGACAAACGGAGCTATAATCAGACGATTGTGTTGTTGAAATTGTAGACGCAACAACTGTTGATAAGTATGATGAGGTTGAACGATAGCTCTTTGTCTAGCATTTGATCTCAAGATGATTAGAGCCGAGATTAGATTGATGAAAAGTGGAATAGAAAAGTGAAAGAGATAACTAACCGAATTGAAGAGTTGAAAGCTGGACTTGTAAGTCACAATACACCATATCCGTTTGACTTCACCATCCCCATCGTCAAAAAGGCGTCGGTGAATAGGATCATGAATAGCTGTACTTATTGTCAAAACAAGAAGAGCAATAATCACATATTTAGCTACTTTCTTGCTCTTTTTCTTGTCAAATTTAACTTTGCTTAAAGCAGTTGTTGCGCGCTCGGCAGTCACACATGCATTTAACCATTGATCCATACTGAGACAAATGCACAGAAGAAAGTCGATCAATAGACATTGTATATATAAGAAGAATCGATTGATTGTCAGTGCCATTTGTGAACTCACAAGTATCCAAAATTTGATACCAAACAGAGTCATTGTCAGTAGAGTAGTGATCGATGATCCTATCAGATACGAACCACAACCGACTGCACGTAATTTCTTACTTTGAAAAGTGATCAAAGTGAGAACACCATTGATCAGTCCTACTATAACCATGATAACAGTCAAAACTGCACTGATTTGTACAGCATATGACTGATGTAGGATGCTGCGATGTGGTATAATGTGATAACCCAAAATGGTATCGAGTGAAAGACCAAAGCCACTGGTACTAAATTGACATCGTACTCCATAGAAACAAGCTGGGCACACACAAATCGATGTTTGTGCACAAGTTGAACTATCTTGAAAGCACTGAGCTCCATTTTCACAACCACTGCGACCAAGACAATCACTTTTCATATGATGATCAAATTCAAAACAGTTAGCCACACGATGTGAACCATGATTATTGCATAAACAAAGATGAATATCATCATAAAAACAAGATAACTTTGGTGAATGTCGTTGACATGGAACATGATAATATTTGATACGACGAAGAAGATGTAATTTGATGATTGTTTCATTAAACAGTCCGTTTATGTGTTCACAACGATTCGATGAATTGATTTTTCTAACAATTGTTGTTGATGGATAGAATATTCTTTGAATAACAGCTAAATAGTAACTTTTGTTAAAGAGTTCGACAAAGACAAGATGAAATGGGCGTGACCAATAAATAATAATTGAGTTCTGATGAATAGGAATTGTTTTGAAAGTAGTCGCACGTTCAGGTGGAGCATTATCGATCACTCGAATAAAATGTATAAGCATTGCTTGTGAAAGAGGAATGTTTTTGTGAAATGAAACGATGATTTTACTGTCAGCTATTTCACATCTATCTCCAGAAAAACCTTTCGAGCAGATACATGTGAATTTTTTTTCAGATACAATATGTTCATCAACTGGAATGAATTGCCCACCATTGAGACATGTCGTATTTTGATCAAGTCCACACAATGTATTGTCGAGCAAACATCGAGGATCGAATCGATTAATCGGACAAACACACAAAGATCGATTGTTAACTAATATACCAACACATAGAGAATCAAATGAACACGTACAAGTGTGTGGAATCGTACAGTATCATCCAGACCAACCTCGATTGCATTGACAAAAAGTAGAGCCATCCTGATTATTCGAATACCTAACACAATGCCCATAGATACACTGTCGATCTGAACAACTTTTGATACTGTCAAGACTGTGTGGTATATCTAATTGAACAGCAAGACGATGCACGGACAAAAATGGAAATTTCAATGGCAATAGCCAACTTCCACGATAAGCTAACGAGAACTTTTCATAGACATCGATATGTACGGAATAGTTTTTTGAATGGTTTTTTGGCCGTGTTGCATAGAGCAAATAAGAATTGAATTTGATTTGACAATCTCGCATTGGTAGATAAGTGAACTGTTCATAAGAATGTATAGTTCGTTCATCGCTATCGTCAATAAGCATGACAACAAGAACAAATGGTGTCCGCCACGCATCAGATAAAGCTCGGTATTGCACGGTGAGACTTACACGTTGATTTTGGTATTGGCACATGTCACCATAGAAACTTGGTGGACAAAGACATGTTGTTGTTGTGATGTTCTTTTGTTTGTCTAACCAGACTCGTAAATCAAAACCACGATGGCAACGTTGAATAGTTTGACGCCTAAATGAATGTGAATGAATCTTTTTTTTCATTTGATTTTTTTGTGTTAATAGTCCATTTTCGATCACTGTCGAGTGAAAAATACACAATCTGTTGTTTAGCTGTATCTTTTAGTCGTCCACAAAGAAACTTTTCGACATCAGACCTCATCTCGACAAAATCATCTAAACAAACACTTCCATCACTTGTGAAGTTTCGACTCTTGTCGCATACTTGTTCATCATCTCCATATGCGCAATTGTCCAAACGGTCACATAGATGTTCAGAAACAATGCATGTTGTATGGTTGTCATTCTTGCAGTAAAAATTACTGTCAACAGCTAAATAATGATTTTGTCGGCACAGTCTGGGTTCGTCAGTGGCACCAAGACAATCTATTTTGCCATCATTAGCTTTTCGGATTGATAGACATGCAAGTTGTCTCGTTTCAGATGATACACAAATGTGATGGCGAAGAGGACAATCTAATAATGGTAATGAATTACAATCGATTTCATCGGCTCCATTGAGACAATTTCAGAAACCATCACAGCGTGTGTATGTATTATTACATTGCCATTGTTCGCATTCTGTTTCATCCGTTTCATTTCGTCCATCAATAGTCATCTGTATCAATTCAGTAAAACCATCACATATTGTCTGAAATGAAATATGATTTCGAGCATAGTGAACATCGAAAAATTCATCATCACATAATCCATTCTCATATATATCACAATGGCACACACCATCATTGACAAGCCGATGAGCAATACATTGATTGGTTTTTGTACATTTGAAATGTTTTTCGAATCGTTCTAATAAACAAGTATTATTGGCCATATAAAATTGCTCATCATCATGATAAAAACAATCTATAATGCCATCATTTAGACGATTTCGAAAGATGCATTTAGATGAGTTTATACATTGGTACATGGTTGATCTATTACACAGTGCTGAATCATTAGTTATCATTTCATAGCATGTATGAAGCAATTTGAATATAGGTGTGACATAAAGACGAAGCCAAGTACCTTTTACTGAAGAAAAACGTAGTTTTAAATCCTCAGGGCGATAACATATAGTATTGTTAAATATGATATGTTGATATTTCACGAAGTATTGACTGCAGAGTTGACCACTAAAACAGATGTAGTGAGGTTTATTGTCTAACAAATATGAGAAATGTATATTCTTGTTTGTGTGTGCAATATAGACTTGATTAAACAAAATTGGAACAGCTGGTAAATAAAGCATATCTGGACAGATTTTTTCAATTATTTTTTCGCATGCTTGAGTTGTACAAAATGACAAACACACATCGTTTATCCATGTAGGATGAATATGAAGAACGCATATTAATATCAACCAACAGGAATGAGATATTGAATCTGGTTTACTCAGAAACATCGTCTCTAATAGCAACTCACTACGTTGTTTCACACATGAGCTCGTTAAAGGACTATTAAAATATTGAAGATTCGTCGTACATACAACATCTTCGCATGCAAATGTTGGTTCGCTTTTATGGCAGTCGGCACGTTTATCATTAAATGTTGAAACTTCGTCGGATCTATCAAGACAATCAGGAATAAGAGAATCATCACGAAAGAATTCATAGGGTATACATTGTCCATTATTACATCGATATTCATTATTTTCACAATCATTGATTTCAAGTTGCCAGCAGTATTCTTCATCACGTCCTCCATCCATACAATCGATTTTTCCATCACAAATTTCACTCCAGTCAAGACAGGACGGAGTTGGACCACGATCACATTGTAAATGGACGTAACATGTAAATGTAGTCGGTTCATATTGGTGCGAATAAAATTGATAAATGATTTCATTCAATGATAACTGAAGAGGATCATAATCATCAATCGAATATTGACACATGGAACCAAACTGTGGCAATGTGCAGTTATAGAAGAGCTGCGTACTCATCGATGTCTCATTCAAAATTGGAAGTTGATTCAAATAAAACTGGTATCTCTCAACAATATCCATTGGTGCCGAACAGATACATAACTGTCGACTAGTAATCTGTAGTTGATTAAGCTCCGCAAAGGTAAAAATTTGATCAAGATTATTTTTGTGCATGTTCCACTATGAGGGCCATTCACCCATACAATATGAAATGATTTGATGAATCTGTTTATCATTGTTAATACTGGTGGCAACGTACAGACAATCGTGTTGTAGTGCAATATCACTCATATTACCAATGGTCTAATCTGTCAGATAAAGATTAATTTGAGAGAAACTAAGTAGTGAGTGTATCATATGTATGAAATGGAGTACACGACTCAGAAGTAAAATCATCGATCTTTCTATCTAACTGTTAAAGACAGATACAAGACAATATTGCAACGGTTCTTATTCATCGTGCCGAGGCACATGTAATTCGCTTTTTCTCCAAAAGAAATTAAGTCAGCATGTTTTTCTTTATCAAATTGAATAGCAAACATTGAGCTAACTCATTTATTCCTGTATCCTGTGTAAAACATTTTACTTTTGACTGTTGTAAATAATTACACTGGTTCATAGCTCACATTCGATAGCATCTGAGCTCTAAATATATCATTATCAGAGAAGAATAAACGCACGACATCAATATTTCTGCTCTGATCTTATTGTATTATAATGATTCAGTTCGACGCATGATTATCCAGAATAGTGAATGCAAAATCAACAACGTAGGCTCGTATCCACATTTTTAGTTTGTTCTTCATCAACATTCGCATTAGATGCATCTGCATGAGCATATACCTCAGTTATTCTACAATTAATAAAGGTAGATACTGCATTTTTAGTCGGATTCAAGACAGTTTTTTTCTTCATCAAAAATGAAATACTTTTAACTTGTATTGCAACTTCATAGTTCTAAGTCTTTTAAGAATAAAAATATACGTTCCTCTTCAAACATATGCTTATGAAACTTTTGAACATCTGAGAAAGCGAAAAATACTTTTTTTATGGACGGTTTTCTCTTGTGAACTATGTGAAATGAAATTAGAGATTATATATAAATACTT